TCTCTCTCTCTCTCTCTCTCTCTCTCTCTCTCTCTCTCTTTTGTATCTGTGCCAAACGCTGCCGGAATGCGGCTGCGCAAGTAAAAAAAAGCCTATCAGGATCTTGGCCTCCATGGGTGAAATGCCGTCTATGTGACTGTCCTGGGATACCAGAAATCACAGTTGGTGTTTGGGGGTGATAGAGAACAGAATGGAGGTGACAAATGGCATCCAAGCTATACTTGAAATGACACGTGCCTCAGGTTCAACTAAAAGGAATTCTGAATTGGCGCTTCTTGCAGATCAAGAGGAAAGCCCTGTTGGACAATGGACAGTGGATATACGTGGGCAGGCTTGAGGGAAGAAAGCTGCCAAGCTATTGTGTTTCTTGGAGGCTCATATTTGAGTCAAGTTGTCTTTCATCGAGAGGAGAGTGTCCATTTCTCTATCTAGAGCTGGCACACTAATTACCAAAGGGTAATTTTTGTTTTACCCCAGGTACTGTAATGACATCATATTATTAATCCGTGGTTTTGCGGAGCAGCCCACAGGTGCTCCTCTCTTTTTCCTTACTTCGTGTCCTTGTAAAAGGGCAACGCTTTGACATGTATTAAAACACATACATGCACACTTCATCTGCCTAATGAATGTGCCCATGGAAGTAATATACACTGCTAGTTACTTCCATGCAGACTGAAACACGTTCAAATGAGTAGGCACTTGTGACATCACCCCACCAAAACAATTTTGTGGTTTTGTGGATCCTGCATGATAGTTGTGCAGTGAAGAGCGCTGGAACTGGGGTGCACTCCAAAGTATGTAGGGGCATAGGTGACACCTTCTCCAATTGGTTCAAGTAACCCTGCAAAGAAGAGCCATTGTAGTTACTGAATAACATTAGAGTTTAATTTTTTTTAAAAAAGCACAAGTCGAGAGCATGAAATAGAGCAAAACCTGCTTCCCTGGTCATGCAGAAGAGGGAGATGAATTGTCCTTCTTGTGTGGTCATTCTCCTGCCTGTTCCCACATGCAGTGTCCACTTTCCCCCCGGTGATCCTGGCCATTCTGTTTATTTTATTCTGTGCCTTCCTGGATACTAGCAGCCTGAGGAGAGAAGCAAGGGAGAAATATTAACAGAGCAGAAGTATCATTCAACCATCACTCTTTTTGAATGATTCGCTCTAACTTCAGTGTCTAATTGGAAGAATGGCCCTGCTTCCCTTTCCTCAGTCAGTAATAGGTCTATAGCACTGTCTGAGGCCACATGAAAGCCACAGGAAGTAAGGACTATTCCACATGCACTTTTTCAGGACAAGGACTGGTCCCATTCTCTCTATGGTCAGGTCTACTAGTAGACAGACCTGGTTACATTTACACTTTCTAAACCCAATTTGACGGGGCTCCCTGCCACCAGTTAACCAGCACAGCTCCCAGGCAGAAGTACCTCGGACTGTCAGGTGGGCTTTGGAGCGTGCGTTGCCAACGGTGACTTTCACCATCCCACTCATGCCAGGAGTTGTCTGGCACAGCCTCAGTCTATGGACATGTCCCACACTCTCCATTTTCACTTGTGAACCAGGCTGTAGTTCGTCTCCATTGAGACTCCACTGAGGACTGAATGCTGGAGGAGCCGATATCTCGCACTCAAACTGAGCCTCGGAGGGAGCCACTACGTCCACGTTTCTCAGAGCACGGACCACCTGGATCCCCTCAGCTGCAGAGGCAGAGAATAACATCTGTTTTCCAGAAGATACACAGCATCCAGCCTCCAGTAAAAAGATACTGGCCAATTTGTAGTGGATTGGCAAGGGCTTTTGGGCTCTGAAAGGTCTAACCCATAGCATTATCAAGATGTGTGCCATTTTGGAAGGGAGGGACCAGGATTAGTATTTTGTGTGTGAAAGGTCTATGATCTTACTCGTAGTCCTGACAGAAAGCCCATGGGCTGTGAGTATGCAATGCCCCCCTATCACCTTATTCCAAGTGAAAATGCACTACCCCAAGCTTTTCTATTGCACGCTTTGTGTCTAGCTGGGGGACCCTGTGATTCTAGTAAAAACACAGTAAGTCTCACGCCCTCCCACTCGTTCCCATTATGTCATGCCTCTTCTGTGTTCTTCCTCCATGCACTGCTGGCACTCAGTGTGATGCTTAGTCGTTTTCCCCCTTAACAACCAACCCATCTCACCTCCCTGCTGTTCTACATGGGCACTCACATGTTCCCCCTTACCCTCCACAAGCAGGCGAGCTGTGGAGCGATCATCCAGTGCATCACAGGTGTACAGCCCCTCATCTGCTGGCTCAACGCAGTGGATGATGAGGGTTCGGTAACAGTCCAAGTTGCAGATCTCATACTTGGGGCCAGCAAAGATCTCTGTGTCACCACGAAACCAGCGTACACGCCCACGAGACTGAGAAACTGTGCATTCCAGTGTGGCTTTGTGCTGTGCCAGTACAGTCTTGTCCCGCAGCGGTTTCACGATACGAATGGGTAATGCTGTTGAAGAAGAAGAGCCTGAGACTTTAAGGGGCTGGTTTCCTATCTCCAGACCACTAATCCCCAATTTCTGTTTGACGAAAGAGACCTGGGTCTTGGCAACGTATCTGGGACCGCACATGTGCTCATGTTTCTACCAGCCTAGGATCTCACAGAAGCCTACCCTCCCACTTTCTGACTTAATCCCTCCATTCTGCATATACATCTGCCCTCTGTCACATACATTTGCAAAAGAAACTTCTATCTTCATGTAGCGATCAATCTGTCTTTGTCTATCCATCCATACACAAAGAGAGACCTGGCCTATCTACAATATGATCATGTCATTCATCTACCTTCCCTGAAATGTGCTTTGTTTAGAATCCATTCCCTTCAAAGTTTAAACTGGCACCTAGCCATATGTGCATAGACACATATTCTCTCTCACACACACTCACTCTCTCAAAATTTACAGGCTAGTTTACTCCATTACTTCTGCACACACACTAACTTACTTTCTGCTCCATGTGGTAATTCTAGTTCAGCCTTATATTACAGATGAGAAACAAAGCCAACTCTGAAATAGATTCCCTACCCTCCACGTCCAGGCGAGCTTCAGAAACAGCTGCTTTTGCCACAAAACGGATCTGGCCTGCATCTTCTGGATGGACACAGCACAACAGCAGGAAATGCCGGGCTCCTGATGAAGAAAGACAAGAGGAAAACCAGCATTTTTAAAGAGACATGTGGTGCTTTGCTTCCAGTCCCTGGGATAAAAGAAGGTCTAGAAAGGAATAACTGGAAGCAAGAACATTGTGTGCATTTGCTACACTGCTTATTAAGGTAATTAAGGACCTATCCCAATATAGATACTATTGTCGAATGGGATCTGAACATCTTTGATAAAACAGAGGTTTTATTCTCATTTCTCAGCAGTGAAACCACAGTATTCAGATGCTTGGAAAAAGATATTTTTTCCACATCTGTATATTGCAGCAGCTAGTACTTTGTAGGCTGCAGTTGTGCAAGTGAGTGGGTAATGCCTCTGACAAGACAAGTTGCCTTCCCCAGGCATGGTGCGGCCTTTGAAACCAAAGCATAAATTACTCAGATAGACATTTTAAAATAAATAACAGGAACAATCCAGGACAATGTCTCATACAGTATATTCCAAAGGGACTGTTATGTATGTGCTTACATTTGATATTTACAAAGAAAAGTACAGTACAGATGAATGGGTTCTATTGGTGGAATCAAGTCTGAAGAAAGATATCCCTTTCTTTCTCAAGATGTTCTGCTGTCATTTGATGAACTCCCTCCCCCCCCCCAAGGCTTTTAAAGCTTCCAATTTCTGGTCCTCACAAGGGAGTCCTAGGGCTGTTGGGCATAGTGGACATATGCCTACAGAGAGGGAGATATGGAGGCAAAAGACTTCCACTCTTGCAAGCCACCTAATTTAAGTGTGGAAGCATCTATCTCTATTGCTACTCCAAGCAGAAGCCCTCTGTAGCAGAATCTGAAACTATCAAGTTTTAACCCATGGTCTGTTGGCCTGCAAATACTGGCCTATTTAGATGTACTAACTAAACCATAAAATATCTGTTCCAGATGCCACCAGTCCAGGCAATTTCTGATGTCTCTTCATATGGATGATGCATTGAGCAGGACGTTGGACTTGATGGCCTTATAGGCCCCTTCCAACTTCATTATTCTATGATTAAACAGCCTCAAGCAGAGGAATCCAATAGAGTGAAGCTGTGAAAATTAATTGCCACTTCTTATGTCCTGCTAAAATCTGGCACATTACAAGTCTAAAACCATATGTAACATCAGAAGACAGGTTATCTCTTCTTTTGATCTAGCATATACTGTCCTTCAGCAATTGCATTTCTTGCTTACTTTGACTCTAGGTCAGTGGTTCCCAACCTTGGGTCCCCAGATGTTCTTGGACTAAAACTCCCAGGAGCCTTCACCATTAGCTGTGCTGGCCAGGATTTATAGGAGTGATAGTCCAAAAATATCTGGGGACCCAAGGTTGGGAACCACTGCTCTAGCTAAACTTGGTGGCATTAAAGAATTCCATAGCTAAAACAACTGAAGACTGAAGGATTTTACTTACCTTCCTGACGTATTTTCACAGTGCTGGTAACTCTGATTCTCTCTCCATCTCGGAACCATTCACCTTTCACCTCCTCAAGGGACACCTCACACATAAAAACAGCATTCTCGTTCTCCCGCACACGCACATCCTCCAGGTCCCGCAAAATCTGCACCTGCCGTTCTACAGAAGGGGAAAGGACAATGGAGTATGGCTGAATGTGTTGCTACTGGGTGGCATATGGGCTCATTTCAATCCACAAAAAACACTGAATCTAAACTGTGCCTCTTAATTGAGGCCCACCCTTCCACAGCCCTTGGAACAAGTTAGCTGATATCATCTGAGCAAAACTGACGTCCCCTTCCATAAACTTCCAGCCACAGATTCATGACAAAAAAGAACCACATAATCTAAGATTAGACAAAGAGTTGGACAACTTGCCTAAAGAGTCATATGAAATGTCTTGCTGGAACCAAACAAAGGCCTTTCTAGTCCAGCATATAATGGACTTAGTCAATGCTTCTGGGAAGCTTCCAAGTGAGACAGGAGAGCAATAGCCGTCTTTTTCACTGTTGCTTTCCAGGAACTGAAAATTCAATGTCATGCTGTCTGTGAGTAGCAGTGTGGTGGCCTGGGGTCTGAACTGAAAAATGGGAGGTGAGCTACACACTCACACACTCAGAACACAATAATCATGGTCAATATCATGGTTCAAAAAATGACCTGTCAGATGCCTCCAAGAAGCCCTCTCTTCCTATTTTCCTGAGGATCTGGTATTCATAGATACACTTCTTCTGAATATGGAGGTTTCATTTAATGGTTGTATTTCACAACCATTGACCGTTCAGCCATTTCTAAATTCCAAGTAAGGGTGCAATCAGATGAGCATTTGTCTTGCTGTTTGGTTTGCTGTGAGGATGGGATGGTTCACTCTTTTTTTCTAATAATCAGTTGTCATAGTTGCTCAAGCAAAAAATCCATCCCTGGAGCATTCCCACCTGCACCTTTCTGGGTTCCTATCATGAGCATCTACACTTTGGATGGGTAGTGGGTGTGGGTAGCATCGCTCTGGTTTTTGTTAGTTTCCAGCGTGTGCAATTACTGAAAATGAACTAAAGTGAGCTTGTGGTTGTCAAATTGCCTTCTGCTGTCAGTTTCTGCAGCAGTGAATTCAGCTGCGAGCATGCTCTCAATCTGACCTTTAAGAAAAGTCACAAGGGAAAAAAATCTCTCTCATTGCTTCCTCCCATCTCTTTCCCCTTCCAGAAAGAAGCTCTTAAATTTTTTTTGAAGTGATGCAGTGCATCACTGCTGCCCTAGTACAATATACATTTTTAAACACTTCCTCTGCCCTTCCATGGAGCAGAGGAAGTGTTTAATTTGCCAATATTATAAAGGGGCTGTCTTCATATGGGAAATTGACAGTGAGGTGTGTATGTCATTTGGATTCAAGGATTGCAACCCAATGGCAGAATTGACCTCTCCCTGACCTTAAGTGACCTTATTTAGCCCACGCCAGCCCACTACAAGTGAACCCATGTAGACGAGCCCTAAGTTCTCTTTGGGTAGCCAAAAGCTTCCATCTCTGACAGATGCTGAAGTCAAATGGAATGAGTAGGCTTAAAGAATTAGTCATTAATAAAGGTTTTCCCTCCTACTTGGATCAGATAGCCTACTATCACTCACTTAGCTGAAACAGGTCTCCTATGACTCAGAATTATACAAGTTCTGTATTAGTATTTATATAATTGCTATGACTTCCTTCCAAACTTCCTGGGAATTGTAGCTTAAAAAGATAGGTTGAAATCCTCTATTTTAGATTGCTGGTCTTTTCCCTACTCATCACAGGCCAACAGTCTCAAGGTTCCTAAGGGGAATGATTTTTAAATCAGTTTCCATCTGTGATATATATATCATACATATGTGCCTACAGCAGCCACCTTTCCTGAAAGGGGCTGCAATGTTTTCTTTGTAAATGAGAAATTGCAGAGCTCAAGTAAGCCTGGAAATCTGGTAGGTCCTTCTTTCTCATTTGAAATGTATATGCGGAGACAGATTGTCCTTTCTTGGTACAGAGTGAGAAGTACAGTACAGTATGTACTTGCAAGAGATGTTCTCCTCATTTTTGTGGCTTCTTATAGCTCCAGGACTTTGAAATTAAAAGCAGCTTCTGAGGATGAGTGACTTGGTTCAGATTAAACTCTGAGAAGCAGAATGGAATTTTTTTCTGACTTTTAGCCTTTCCTACACAGTTTGGTTTCATCACAAATATGGAAGGCAGCAATACATCACCCCATGAGTGTTTTAGTTTCTATACCAGCCCACTGCACTGAGAAGGCATAACCTGTAGTTTTAAAAACAACATTGACAGGACACTGTCAATTTCTTTTAAAAGAAAAAAGAAAAAAAAAGCATGACTTTCTGTTACTGAAATACTTTTCTTGCTTGGATAATTTTCTAAAAAATTGAACAATGAATGTTTATCCTAAACCCAGCTTCCTATACAAGCTGACCAAGCTTTCAGAATGAGATTCCAATGCACCAGTCAATCTCTGGGGCACAAGTAGCAGCTGTCAAGGGGACAAGAGGGCACAACTACATCATCTGGCAAAGACTATGCAACCCCCACCCCCCAAAAACAATGAAAAGCTTGAGGGAGACTTGTATGGTTCAATCCAATTCTAAATGCTTAAATGTTTGATTGTTGTTGTATTAGATTGTTTTTTATTGTTTAATGTTGATTTTTTTTTTTGACTACTTGGTGCAGCTAGATGTTTGCCTATTGTTCGTTTTATGTTGTAAACCACCCAGAGTGGCCGACTACTTGGTACGGCTAGATGTTTGCCTATTGTTCATTTTATGTTGTAAACCACCCAGAGTGGCCCTTAGTTCGATGGGTGGTATATTAAACAAAAAAACAAAATCCCAACTCAAGCCTCCTCCCAAAGCACTGCTTTCATTGTGATCTCAGGTCATCCTTACCAAAGACTCGCAGTCTGGCAGAGGCCCGGCAGTCACCAGCATCACACATGTACTCGCCCGCATCTTCAAGGCCGCAGTGGCTGAGTTGCAGGAGGCGTCGGCGTCCCACTGAATACATGCGGCAACTTGGCCCCGGTTGCATCTCCTTTCCATCCTGTGACAATCAGAAACACAGAACCTAGTTGAACACTGAGCAAGACAGCAGAAAAGGAGAGAGAGCACTGGACTGAGTGCTGTTTTCAGGTTTGCTGATGAGATAGTGGGGAGATATGGGCCATGCTGCCAAGTAAACTGGCCCGCCCCTGAATGATGGATTATGCTCTTCAGAAGAGGAAGTTCTGCTTTGGGGGATATGAATCAAGGAGAGTTAAAGGAGAGAATAATGTCATAATTAGTAATCTCACCTTGTACCACTTCACTTCAGCCATGGGCCGGGACAGCTCGCATTCAAAGGTGGCTGACCCAGTCTCAGGGATGCCCATATCCTGGGGAAGGCGCAGCATAGTAACTGGTGGCTCTGCAGGGACATGGACAAAAGGCAGGAACAAGTGGCACAGAAATGCATCTAAACGGAGACTTAAAAGATTTAATGGCATCAAAAGACTATGCTTAGCAAAGCTAGAATGTGCCTCCTCGACTGGCACAATGCACCAGCTTTCAGCCTCATCCAAGTTCAGTTTGGAGAACACTCTCCCAACTTCCTCTTCTCTCTCTACCTCCAGTCTGCCATGTTTATCAGCCAACATCTACCTAGCATTGGGCTGCAAGTACATTGATCTTTACTCACCAGCCCATAAAAACCTTTAAAAGCCCTGAAAGATCAGCCCAAGGGCCCATGTAGCCCAGCCTGTTTCCTGCAGTGGGAAATACTTCTAGAGCAGTGGGTCCCCAGATGTTCTTGGACTGCAGTTCCCAGAAGCTTTCACCACTGGCTGTGCCGGCCAGGATTTCTGGGAGTTGTAGTCCAAGAACATCTGGGGGACCTAAGGTGTTGTGCTCTGAGAGAAATCAACAAACATCACAGGAGAATTCAGGGCTATTGCTTCCCAGTACTGTAACTGGTATTCAAAGGAAGGTTGCCTCATGACTAGTAGCCATGGGCACATAGCGTTGTTTTCCAAACATTTTTCTAATCCCCTTTTCATCTGTCTGAGCTAATCACATCTTTTGACAGTGAATTCTGTGATTCTGCTGCATGAAGAAACTTGTACTTCAGTGATGGATCAGGTGTGCTGCCAATTGTCATGCAGCTCAAAGCAGTAGGAGTTTGGGAGTCCAGCGGCTGCCGTGCCCTCTGTGGCCATGATACCTGAAAGGGAGATGCCAATCTCCCAACATGAATGTGCACCAAAGAGCTGCAGCCAAAAGACTGGCTTTGTTGCTACCAAAGAGAATTACTGGCAGCATCCTTCATCAGCTGGCATGCCCATGTCAGGGCCAGGGCCAGTCTAACGAGAAGCTTTGCATGCTGCCCTGCCCAGCTGTTTAAGAGCCCAGACCTAAGCGTACAATAAAGCAGTAGGCAACATCAGCAGAGCTACTCAAGATAAAAGGCCTAAGAGTCAAACCAGATAAAACTCTTTACAATATCTTGAGAAAAAGTCTTTCCTCAAATGAAAAATGCCTGTAAGTCATACTGTGTAATTTTTCATCTCTTACATATCTTGCATTTAGTCTGCTCCATTATAGATTGAATTTTATTAGTTATTCTAAAGCAAACTCTTGACAAGTCTGATTGCGGAGGGGCATATTTCGGGGGGGGGACTCACTGTAGATGGAAAATGGATTCCTTGCAGTAGAATACAAATTCCCCTCAATGTGTAGTTTGACTCTATAACACCATTGACTGCAGGTATCAGGCGGCTGCATGCAGAGACTTTCTTCTACCCTAAGGCCATCCCAGTCATCGCGTCCAGTTAAACCTCTTCCTCACATACTCCTCTGTTCTCTACCCCTGACAAATGTATTACATAGACAGAAGTCTCCTAAGTCTCCCGTACCTCGGACAGTAAGGCGGGCACTGCTCCGCACAGTGTCAGCAGTGAAGGCCACAGTTCCTGAGTCATCTAGGGTCAGGCCCAGCAGGGTCAGGCTGTGTATGCAACCTGTGTTGCTCACTCGGCAGATAGAACTTGGCTTCACACGGATGCCATCCCGTGTCCAGACCCCAGACACATTGGGATGTGAGAGTTCCAGCTCAAATGTTACTGTCTCCTTTTCAAAGGTCTCCACATCCAAGAGTGGTTTCTTCACCATCACTTTTCGGGCTGGAGTGGGTGAAGGACGGAAAAAGAGTTAATGGAAATCTCTCTCTCTCAGTTTCCTTCTCTCTCTCCCCCACCATGACAAATGCAGTTGGTCTTCAATATTAACAGAAGAAGGGTAGAGAAAACTAGAGGCATGCAATCCTTTCCCAAGACAGTATACTAGGACTGTCCTTCACTGTTGCTCCCACATGTACAGAAGTGCCTTCCCTGCCTGTCCTATTTTGGCAAGATCCAATCAAGATCCAAGAAGGTCTTGAATGGATCTTACCAACAGAAGGCATGGTTCTGTACAGAACTAACTCTGACCCTGTCAAGGGAACTTGAATTCTCAGGAAAAGATGCGAAAGAAACCAGAGGTTGGGCACCTACGTTCCACACTTAGCTTGGCTTGGGTGCGGTCATGAAGGCTTTCACATCGGTAGATGCCTCGGTCCACAAGCTCAACACTGTAGATGGTGAGAGTACGTTGGGACCCATGCGCCTCCATTGAGTATTTGGTGTTTGGTTGCAGCAGGATGCCTTGTTTCATCCACTGCACCTCAGCACTCTCCAGGCTCAGTTCCACTTCCAAGCGCACATCCTGACCTTCCTCGGCCACCAAGTCATGCAGAGTGTGCACAAACAGCACCTGAGCTTCTGTAGAAAGAAACACCAAAGGTTGCCCACCTGCAAGTATTTCTACTGTCCTGATGCATTCTAAGCCATAGCCTTGCGTTATCAGCTGGGAGAGAAGACTAAAATCATAAGCTCTCCTACACTAATCATTTTGGCCAGGACTGGGTACACTTAGCTCATTTCCAAGCAAAGAATCTGGTGTCTTAAGAACTTTGCATTCAGAACTTGGAAGGTGAGGGACATAAAGTTTTGAAAACTGGACATGCAATGCGTTGCAGAATCTCCGAAGATGAAAGCTAAGGAGAATTTCCAACAGAGTTTCTGTTATCCGCTCTATATGGCTAAATTACACTTAATCAGCAAATAAGGACAACTGTTCTTAACGTTAACACTTTATTCTAATCACAGAACCTGGATGTTCTTCATGCAAAATTCAGAATAGACAAGTGGATGGGAGAATAGATAAGATACAGATACAGTATTGGCTGACTTCCTTCTTGAAGCTCAGAGTCATCTCAGGGATGTGGACACCTACTTACTGCCATCAACACCAAACCACAAGTCCCTCTCTTGGTATATCCCAAAACCATATGAGTGGAGTTGCCCTTCCTCTTACCTTGCACACTGAGCCTGGCTGAGCTCATGAGGCCTTCTGCATAGATGGTGACTATGCCAGTGTCACTCAGCCTACACTGTCGTATTGTGAGGATATGGCACAGCCCATTCCTGGTTGTGGTCAAACGTTCATTGGGCACAACTTCTTGGCCATTTAGCTGCCACTCCAGGGCCACATCTTCTGGAGACACCACGACTTTGAAGGTAGCATCATCACCTTCTAGCACTGTTAAGTTATGCAGCTCAGAAATGATTTCCACCAACCTTGGAACTGGAGAGAAAGTGCTGTGAGTCAGGGAGGGCTGAATCTGTTTTAATCTTTGGCCATCCCAGAAACTTGGATGCAGCCCGACAGGGGAATCCCAACCTGCACCCTCGTAGCATCTCTATGGATTTTACAGGAAGGCCCTTCTAGACAGAACTCCACGTGCCTGTCTCCAAGTCCACGGAGAAGAGAATTCACACAATAAGTGAACTGTGCAGGGCCCCTAGTCCTCCTCCTCTCCTATTACAATGTACAGAGGATTGTGGATATTGGTTCTCAGATTCAGAGAAGGGCAGGTTACTTATTTGTAACTATAGCTGTTCTAGTGGTCATCTGTGAATTCACACTACTGGGTTGTTCTGTACCTGAGCAGATATCTCCTGAATCTTCCAGAACCTAGAAAACTGTTAGCCCCACTCTACTGCCTGGTGAATGCTTCTCAACCCAATGGTTAATTCCTAGTTCCATTCTGACCGCTGCTGAATAAAGTAGAACCCACGGCAGACAGAGACATGATTGGGTGTGTTGCGCAAATTCACAGATGACAGCTTGAAGAATTACAGTTACAGGTAAGTAACCTGTCCTCCTTCTTTGTAGTCTCTGTAATTCACACTTATGGGTGACTAACAAGCTCACTTACTGGCTGGTGGGATGTTGTGTCAATACTGATAAGATCAGTGCTCAACTTGCATCTGACAGTGATGAAGGATTCTTATCACCAACATCTTGTTCATCTGATGTATCTAGAAGTGAGGGTGATTCTGGAAAAGAGATATTTTTATCTTCTGTGTCTGTGGAGTTTTGTTGTATTTCAGTGATCTTATCTTTTTCTTTTGTAGCTTTAGACTTTAGTTTTGGATGGACATCTGTTTCCAGGACGCAGGACTAATAACTTAGTCAGCTTTAGTTTTAACCATTTCCCCTGACTGCATGTTTGTGTGTGTGCGTGTGTGTGTGTTTGTCTTATGTGTTCTTTGAACTGGTTCTGTAGATTGAGGTCTATAGCTAGATTTAGTATTGGCAAGTGAATGCTGAGACTCCTGTGTGGATTAGTCCAATTTCTAAGATCTGGTTGGTGTCAAGGATGCAGAGTTGGAACGATCAGATAAGTGGTGCTTGCGTTTTGTCTTTTAATTTGGTTAGTGAGGTGCTTAGAGTCTCAACCTGGAGCAGATTTCAGCATTGTCTGTATCTGTTTTCCTTGATTTTGAATGTCAATGTTGGGGTGCCTTTGGTGTCAATGTTTCCAACGCACTTTTGTCTCCTGCTTGCCAGGTATCACAGTTTGAGCAAACTTCCACAACAAGCTTCCTTGATTTCGATTGATGGAGATGTGATGCCTTTATGGTGGATGGCTGATCAGAATCAGAATCCGGTGACAAAGCCAATGTTGAGTGGGGACATTGCTGCATTGAGCGTTGAGAAGGCTGTGGAGACTTCAGAATAGGCACGCTTTGTCCTTTGTGCTAGACATGGTGGTGTTCTGGCATTGGTAAGCCTGGCATTGGAAATCCTGAAATTGAGCTATGGTGCAGGGCCACATGTCCTAATCTTTGTACTCATTAGCATAGGGCGACATGAAAGGCCACTCAGCACCCACACTGAATTGAGATAGGGCTCTGTAGAAGAAAAGGGAAAGGTAAAAATTGTCCTCCATGGCATCTGCCCTTAGGGGGCAGGATATTATCTGTCCATTTGGAGGTTTTCTGAGACCGATGGTCAAGCAGCCATAGATTATGTAAATGATGGAAATAAAATATTGACTCTTTTGCAGTGTTGATGTTTCTCAGCATGTTTTCAGTGGGTTGAGATATGCACTCCTCCGGATATTGGTGTCAGGTGGCTCTATTCTAATCAACGTGACAGAGGTGGGGAGGCATTGAGGGAGAGACATGGGGCTTCATCTTCCCCTGGTAGGAAATGCAGAGAAACTAATTCTTTCTGTTCTTTTGGCTTATGAAGTTAAGGGCTGAGATGGGGGCCAGACCACTACCTATGTTTTATCTGCACCTTTAGTCTTTTTCAGTTTTGTCTTTTCCATGAGAGGTGTCTTCTTTTTCCTCTACATGGATAGGTCAGTTTTGACATTGATGGTCTCGAAGCCATGTTTTTTGGGAATGAATGCTACATCCCCAATGCTTACAGAACCAGTTCCTTTGGGGTAGTTACGGTTGTGTTGATCTGGGTGAACTCCATAAGAGTGGATTTTGCCAGGGTCTTGTATACCGATGTTGATGGTTCCATGGGCTCTTTTGAGAGTATCAGCCATGTGTAGGAATTTTTCCCAGATGAATAACTTAAGTCTCGACTGCCTGTTTTTTTATTGCAACTTTTGTAAATTTCTTACAAAATTGGCAGAATGGCATCTGATGACCCTCTTCAAAACAGTAGAGGAATTTAAAGTGTCCATCCTTGAGAGGGATTTTGTTCTTACAAGTCTTGCATCTCTTGAACAGGGCCATAGAGGCCATAAAAAGGTACGGGGTAAACAATGAAAACCTACACTCTCTTTTTTCCGGTTAAAGGAGAAAAGGGAGAGGAGGAAACAATGGCTAACCAGAGAAGGGAAGGGGGAAACTACATGATTTTAAGTACAATCAGGCTCTGAAATCACCATTGAAGTGCTGCTAGAGTTAACCATTAGGTGGAGGGCCATGTGCTGATACAGCGGGGCTAACTACTTTTTCCTAAGCTCTGGAAGATACTGAGGACATCTGTGCAGGCACAGAACAACCCATTAGTGCGAATCACAGAGACCACAAAGAAGAAAAACTATTCTATAGGAAGAACACAGACACACGGGCAGCTGCTAGGTAGTCCTTTCATGCAGGAGATTTTCCCCGTCCTATCTGGCAATGCCAGGGACTGAGCCTTAGACTTTCTGCAATGGGAAGCAAATGTTTTTCCACTGAGCTATAGCTCTCCCCTAAAGGACTCACTCTGAACTGTAAGGATCGCCAGGGTGCGGTCATCGTTGCTTTCACACGAGTATTCACCAGCATCCTCAGGCACCACATGGTGCAGGGTCAAGGAACGCTCCCGCCCCTCTGCTCGGATCTCCAGGCGTTCGTTGGGCTCCAGTTCCTTTCCATCCTTCAGCCACACAACATCACCTTTGGTTTTGCACAGCTCACACCAGAACAGCACTGTCTCTCCTTCCAGTGCTGAAACGTCTGAGAGTCCTCGAACAAACTTAACTGGCAGTTCTGGGAGGAGCGAAGAACAGTGCAACAGTAGTGAGCAGACCACAGCAAAAGGGAAGGTTGGAGGTTTTTTGGAACCACCACATGAAAGCCCAAGTTTTCATGTAGCAGCTCACGATTTTGACAGGACCCCAAGACCCGTTGTTTCCCTTCTTTCTACATTTCTTGTACTCATGACACATTTGAGGATTTGCTAAGGACAGCATTTGCTAAAGACTTGGAATCAAGAGAGATCTAGAAAAGGTTTCCAGTGAGATCTGAAGGAGAGACTTCTGCAGTAGCAAACCTCTCCTCAAGTTCTCCTTTCTTTACATATCCATTGAACTCAACATCCAACAGGTATTTCTACTATGTATTTCCTGCACAAACTCTACATAAGGAAATTAAGTAAACACATGCAAATTCTATTTATTTATGCCAGATGCAGACCCTGAGCACAAGGAGCTGTACAATCTTGGCAACAGTTATGCTGAACTATTCCAAGCCAAAAGTACCAGCTGCTCTAGCAAGGAGCAGAAAATCTTGTGTAAATATATTACCGTAAAACCAGTAAGCGATTCTAATTCTAATGTAGAAAGCAGCACAGGCTGCTTTTACAAGGGGCTCAGGAAAAACATAGGAAGCCTACATATATGAAGCTGAAGCTTATGTTGGGAGCAGCGGGGTAGGGTGCACAACTAGTCTACCTGTAAACAATATACAGTACCATGGTTTCCTTGCAACAACTGTTATGGCTTTATCCCAGCACCACAGTAGTCTAGCAGGAGATTCCACACCAGGCAAAATCCTCTCTTTAGTATATCCATTAAAAATAGGGCAACATCAGGGGTTTTAAATGGATTGTTGTGCTCTGTTGTTTAAAAGTGTTTTCATATGTACGTATCTTAGTTACCATTCTAATAGAATAAGTGTTTAATTCTTTTTTAATATTTGTACGCTTTATCTTAGTTACTATGCTAATAAAATATGTGTTTAATTCTTTTTTTAATATTTGTACGCTTACTGTTTTTAGCTTTTAAATGCTGTTTTAATGATGCAAGCCACCTTGGGTCCTTTTGGGAAGAAAGGTGGGGTAGAAATCCATCCAAACATTGACTCTAAGAACTCCTCCTGATCAGGCAATATCTATTTTATGGTGTCCATCCCACAGGCTCAAGAAGTGCCACCAGTTACTTATTGCCCCCCTTCCCTGGCACCAACCGCTTACCTTTGACACTAAGCTCAAAATGCAGTTGGTCATGAGGAGAGTGGCATATGTACTCGCCAGCATCAGCCTTGCCCACATTGCTCAACAGGAGGCTGTGTACTCGGCCGTCCTGACGCAACTGGCAGTGCTCGCCTGCCCCCAGAGTGCCACGAGGTCCTTCCCAGCTCACCACAGCTGCTTCCTTGGAGACAATAGCTGAGAGCACAGCACTGCCCCCCTCCAGGACCAAGACCTTCTCTGGATACTCTGGTTTGGGTACAAACAGAACTGGGGCCTCTGGTGACAGAAGGGAAAGAAGCATAAGTGGGGAGGGAGGAAAGGTTAAGGTCCACCTCTAAGCCTCAGTGTGCACCTCTTCTACTGGAGCAGTTCCTAAACCAAAAACACATTTACAACACACAACATTAAATCGAATAAAATTAAACTATATTTCTCATATTCACATTTCTCCACCCGTGCCACCTTCCCCCTTGGGACTAGATTCACATTCTTTCTTCTTACATTTCATACCACCCCATTTCTCTCCAGAAATACATTGATTCTTCTCACCGTGTATCCCCCCTCCCTTAGCAAAAGATATATTCCAGAAATACATTCCATATGTCTTTAAAATGATTACTTTTTGATATTCCTCCACTTAATTTAATTTCACAAATCAATTTGTCATTAATTCCCATACGCCATATTTCCCTGTACCACTCCTCAGTATTAATTTGGTTATCACTTTTCCAATTCTTTGCAAATATTAATCTTGCCACTGTGGCTGTTATAAGAATTAGTTCCTTTTCTTCTCTCTTCACTTGATTATCATTAACCATATTCAATAAAGCTATCATAAGAGACATGTGAATACCAGTCCAGTTATTTCCCTAAAATCCTTAAAAACCAATATTCCTTCCTTCCTCTTTATTTCAGAAAGCCACCACATGTGCAGAGTATCCCTTTTTTCATCTCTTCTCCAGCACAGAGATGATACATTTTTATTTAATGTAGTCAACAGTAATAGTTTTCTATAACCGTTATGGACATATTCTTCATAATTATTTTATTACACATTTTACTCCAGTCTTCCCCTTTAATTTCTTAGTCTCCCACAGCGTTATCAGAATGATGGACAAAATCCTGTTGTGTGAGTTATGACTGTGGAAGTGTGATGACATCACTGGTAGCAGCAGATTTTTGGTCATCGAAGAGTTCCTACTCCTATTCTGAGGCTCCCATGGCTCATATGCAATGAAGCTGATTATGTCCAAGTCAGACAAGCCATGGAGTAGAAGTAGAAACTCCTTAATGATGATCAAAATCTTCCCATGTATGTCATAACCCTTCCACAGGTGGAACCCATGCAACAGGATTTGGCCATTCTTATAACTGAAACATTAGATTTCCAAATTTGTGCCAAACTCTGACTTTCTGAATCAGGAATTCACTTCCTGCCCTACACCACTAGGAAAGAGAAAACTCTCAAGGTCAACTTTTGAGACCAACAGTTAACAGCCTGCACCCAGAATCATTGTCAGATTCTTAGCACTGTAAGGCATACGTTTCTCCTATCACAGTGCTGCATATCTTTATCCCCTTTTGAAGCCCTTTCCCCTATGCTTATATTCCCTTCACCACCAACATATGTATGTGTCATGGCACAGCTCTCACATAGTAGCTGTAGTTCTCCAGGAACATAAGGAACATGGGGAGGAGGAAGAGGCGACATCTGGGACAGAAGCTTCTCCTTTGAATCTGCAGCATCTTACCTCGCACATATGTTGTGAAATGCACCTCATCATCTCCAGTATTGCAGGTAAAGGTGCCACTATCACCTGGCTCAGCTTGCCTGATGGTTAGGCTACGCAATAGCCCATCACTGCTCATGACCACATGTGGCCCAGGGTAAAGTGGCCGCATGTCTTTCAGCCACTGGACAGAAGCCTTCTCTTGGGAAAGTCGAGCAACCAGTGTCATGTTCTCTCCTTCCTGGACCTCCACAGGCACCTGAGCTTCTGCTTTATTCACAATATGCACAGGGGGTGCTAAGGAAAAGAAGACCTCTTTGTAAGTAAGGCTGAATATATTTTGTTATGCTAGGGAAGGAGACTTAGACCCACCACAAAGCAAAGTGAGGCAAGAGGAAATCTAGGGTTATAATTTAAGGTCAGGAAGGTATAAAAAGGTTTTGCAACTGTAGAAAAGCTTTATTTAAACTACAGCGACATTTAATGTATTGTCTTCTTGGATAGATATTTAGTGCTGCCATCCTGCTACAAAACTGAGATTACCTGGCACAAATTCAGCATTTCTAGATAGCAACACGAATCACTTCCTTCTATTAATTATTGGCTGGAATCTTGTTGCTTAGCATAGTAAGTCACAACTACAGTGGCTCATTTGAATAAATTAATGGACAATTTGACTCACCAAATCTCCAGTGATTCAACAGTACAAATTATTAAGCTAAGCAACAGGATTTCACCCACTGAAATGTAAACAAAGAATAATGTAAATGAAGTCAAGCCTTTTAAATCACTGTTTTTCTCTTTCTTTCTTTCTTTCTTTCTTTTCATTAACAGCTGTTGCAATTTGGATTTTCTGGCTCAGGAAACAACATTTTTTCAGCCATTCTTGTATATGGGCATAGATGTTTCTATTTGGTGCAAAACAGAACTACAACTATCATTTTATAAAACAAACAAATAAACAGAACATCTACTTCTTAATTTCATATCTCAGGAAACAAACACATTCTGACATTTAGACAAGCCTTCCTTAACCTGCTGCTACCCTCCAGAGGTGCTAGATGTCAGCCACAGCAAGCATAGCAATAGATTATGCTGTCTAGGGATGATAGAGGCTCTAGACAAATGTATCTGGAGGACACCAGGTTGAGAAAGGCTGATTGGCACAATGCCAGCAGATAAAATATAACTCAGTGTGGTGCAGTGGGAACTGAATAGGATTCAATGCTCAGTGACAGAACTACCTTGTTGATCCTTCATCCTGTGCTTTACTTTTAGAAAGATCATTAAGTATCCAGAACAACCACATCTAAGCAAATCTATGTGGTAACTACTACAGGTTGCAACCGCCCACAGTCCTTGATGAAACTGTAGATTGTGTTGATGATTTTGAACATATACGACTGGGCAAGAAGACTTAACTCCTCCAGCAGGAGACACTATGAGGAATGACACCAAGGGCTTTTTTCAAATAGAAATGTGCAGCCAGCTATACTAATGCCCTGAATTCACTCCTTGGACTCCTCCCTTCCTTGCATAAGGGCACAGTGTCCAGTTCCAGATGTGGAAAAGGACACCACTCCTGAGTGCTGGCACCTCACTTCTTTGCCAGAGTCTGCTGAGATATTTCCCTGCCTCTCCTTGAGGCACCTGTCCTGGTATGGGCAGACCATGCCAATGTTCATACTTTGAACAAATCTCTAGTCAATAAGGCTCCCCCGTGCTTTCAATGAGGACAGCAATTGTTGGCAGAAGGTACCATGGCGCCTGGGAGTCTGCTGACGTTAAATGTAACCCTCTCACCAGCAGAAGGGAGTCAGAGTCCCTTCCCTTCTCACCTGCCCCGTTGCCTTGCCACATTTCTCTTGGCTCACAGTTGGAAGCAAAACTCTTGCTTCCTGTACTAAATCCCAAACTGCTGCTCAGAAACACAGGAGCCTGCAATTAATGAGGCTTTCAGCTGCAACTTCCAGTTACTTCAGCTAATGAGATATTTTATTAACAATAACAATTAATAATGCTTGGCATTTATACAATGTTTTAATATGTTCAAAGTCATTCACAGACATTATCTCAAAAGTCCTTGTGGAATAGTTATTACAAATACTGCAGTTCATGAGACTGAAGATAAAAATTAATGGCTTCTCTACAATTACCTCACGACTTCATAGATAAGAAGAATGTTGAACCAGGAACTTTCAGCCTCACATATGGCCATTACACTACAGCAGTTCTTGAGCCTTCCTTCTAACCAAGAGGCAACAGAGTTAGTAACTTTTTAATATGTTCTGACTTCTGGTGCTTTTTAGGCTCAAACCACACAATTCACTCAACTCTACATTTAGAAGAGAGCTCCATAACATGGCAAAAGGCATCTGCTCTTCCTAGCCCTAGCTCTTCCACCTTGGATTTTATAAATTAGCTTGGTAGTTTTGTGATTGGCTCATTGGATATTCACTTCAAATACATTTAATAAGACAAGGCGATCAGAAGGAATCACAATTTTGAGGGATAAGCGCTTTCAACTCAGAAATGTGAGCTGAGCATCTTGTGATTGTAACTTTCAAACCCACCTCTAGCTTACTAGTTTTCTCTTTGAGGAGGTCTTACCTGCTACTTCTGCTGTGAACACCATCCGGTCAGTGCCTGCATCACATAAATAGGAGCCTGAATCTCCTGGTTTGGCCCCAAGAATGGTGAGTTTTCGGTGTCTTCCATGAGCTTCAATGCGAACATGCTTGCTGGACACTAACTCCTCGCCGTTTCGCAGCCAATGCACAACAGCACTAGGGGAAGACACCTTGTAAGCCAATACTAGAGCTTCTCCTGCTGCCACGGAGTGGTGTTCAGGCACCCCTGTGTTTCCCACAATGGAGATGGGAGGTTCTTAAGAAGCAGAAAGAAAGAGGTGTTGCAGTGCAGCGCAGAGACAACAGGACTTGCTCATTTAAAAGACAGGCACCGTCGGTCAGATACTAGGTAACGCTACTAAAAGCCCTTGTAGCTGAGCAGAAACATCAAAAGTGATGAGGCAGAAGAAGCATGGAATAAGCAGCACACTACAGGAACTGAGAAAGGGGAGAGGCGACATTAGTTTTTTTTTCTCATCTAGATAGAGAAAAGAGCTGGTATGTGTCAGGCATGAGGCAAGTCTGGGGTAGGGGTAGGACCTGGTCAATGGGGCAAGGACCCACAAATCTACATGGGTAAAGCACATTGACTATGATCTAATTTCATTTTATTCCATATGTCTGAAGAAGTGGACTTGATTGATGAAAGCTCACATTAAAATATAATAGTCTTTAAGGTGCCATGTGTTTTTTGTCTTTGGTTTTGTTTTGTTTTCCTTTGGAATTTGCCTCATATTTCAGAGGAAAGGGGACTTTTTTGCACAAGACAAGTAAGCCATTTGCTCTGGAGAACTGAGCACCAACTTATATAGTGACTGTGGGAACATTCTGGGATGTATAAGGAAAACCATAGGCCTAGGCAAAGCGGAAAACGTTTCATGAAAGCAGGTAGTGTCAGTAGAACTACCCAGAAAGCCAGTTCTTGCTGAAGTCTACAGGGCCAGACTTCAGTAAAGTATGACAAAATATGTTATTTTTTTGTATAATGGCATGTATAAGTATTTAACGCTGGTGTCAGGAAAGGTCAGAGGAAAAACAAAAGAACTACAGAAAACGAGGAACTACAAAATTGCTGAAAGCACAAACAAGTCTGAACAGGGCTGAACAAGCCTCTATCGAGCCTATAAAAGTGTGCCACTGCCTTTATTCTAGCTGCCTTTGTCAGAAGATCCTGTTGGACTCCCGTTGCCTTGTGCCGCCCTACTTGGAAATAGATATTTTTCTTTTAACAAAACTATCTGCGTTGAGAGACTCTGATTGTTTAAGAATCTTGAATCTCCTAAAATTTTGGTGAAACAAAAAAATTTCTTACACAACCTAGGCTGATGCGCCAGTGTGATCATTGTCCATTATTTGCAGACACTCACTGACCACTGGAATCCATTATGCAATAGGCAGCTATTCCAGATCACATACTGTACAAAAGTGCATGATCCGTCAGATGCTCAAGCATTACATTCATATGTCACAACAACTCATTTCTCAGGTGCTTATCTGAATTTTCACATCTACTTCTAAAAACTTTAGGGGGTTCCTACTAGTTCAGAATAAAGAGTTGTTTAGTCCAGCATTCTGTTTCCACAGCAGCCAACCTGAGGCCAACGGGAAACCCCCACTAGCAGGATGTGAGTGTAATAGCACCTTCTTACATATTCTACAGCATATAGAAAGGTTTTGAGAGGCATATTTTTTGATACTGGGAATTATTTATAATCAATATGAGTCATAGCCACCAACAGCCTTATCTCCCATGGCCAGTGGATGGAGATGGGATTCCTCACCACCATTGTAAATAATAAACAAGGAAGTATTTCTTTTTTTTTTGAAACAAGAAAATCAAAGTGCATTTCTTTGATTTACAAAATTGATAGAATTCTGTTTTTCTCAGTACCAAATTTTAATACTCATTGGAATGTTGCTTTTATTACTACAAACATCAATGGAAACAAGTTTAACTCAAACTATCATAAGGCATTATGGAAGACAATTTGCTTGAAAAATCCAACACATGTAATGCTTCAAAGGATAAATGCTGTAAGATGTTATATGAATAGCATTCTACACAGTCACTGAAGATGCAGCTCTGTGAAAGCTAATCATATGCACATTGGTGGCAGTGAAAATAAATTAACTCCTACAGATATAAAGCAGATAAGGGAATAACTATAGGTTACTAATTTTCCTGTTTCTCCTTGGGTAACGTTATGAAGATCCCTCCAAGATTCTGTTCACAAAAGATCAGGAATTAATGGGCGACATGACAATATTAGCCAAAACCGCAGTTCGTGGAAATGGGAATTCAAGGTATCAACTGTGAATAGGCTGACCTTTTATAAACGTATGTGGGAGGAGCAATTTCCATCAAATCTCTTCTCCCCTGCTGAATGTAGATTACTAAAATAGTCTCAGACCCATCTGTACACTGGAACATGATGCTCTTTCCATATAATAGACTGCATTCTTGCCTTATTAAAACGGATATTTTTCAAGAAGGACATTGTATATGAATGCCCTTTCTTTTTCTCTCCCCCATCTGGCCCTGGCCTTACCCTCTACCGTGACATTGAAGATGAGGCTGTCATCGCCACTGTCACACAGATATTCCCCAGCATCACTGCGTTTTGCTCCCCGAATCACCAGTGAATGGTGTGTCCCCTCCTGCTCCAGCCGCACACGCTCTGTGTCCTGCAGCTTCTCCCCATCTTTGTACCACTTCACCTCTCCTTGAGGGCAGGACAGCGTCACTGATAGCACCAGATCCTCTGAAACCAGGCAGCGGTAGTGTGTTTGCAGCTCATCACGCCCCACAATTCGCACTGGGGGGTCTGTCAGCATAAACAAAGGATAAGGTAACATTTGGCTGTTGCTCTGTGTAGTGGATATTTTCATGGCACCCTGACTGTGCAAATCACTTTGCATTCCATAACATTATCATCTTAACAACACTCTTCTACCCCAGGGAGCATTTTTTCTCATTTTACATAAAAAGTATCCTAAGTGGTGCTAGGCTTAAAGGCAACTGGAATGAAATGAATTAGCTAATTCTGGGCACCTAGATTACATGGAGTTAGCCAATCATATATACCTCAGAAATATCCCAAGGGGGGTTATAGCGCTGGTCTGCAATCCATGAGCAAGAGGCCCCTTGGAGAGTCTGGGGTCAGTCCTAGTGCCCCCAGAGAAGCATTAACGAGGCTTGTTCACATTATAATCAGAGAACAAAGAAACCTTTCAGTGTGGTGGACTCTGTATGAAATGTTACAACAGTGATCATTTTTTTTCTAGTAACAAGATTGTAATAAGATGTTTTTGGTATTCTCATCTGGTTGGGTATTTTCAGCCAAAGGCCATGCAAAATGTAAGAGGGATTTAATGCATTCTGTTGTGAGCAAGCCTTGTTAACGCTTCTCTTAATAATGAAAGGAGCTGAACGTAGGTGAGACAGGAGGTGTTGCCATTCTCACTCGTGAGGCTTGAATTGCCCTTGGAACCCTCCCCAACTCTTCATGTGAAATCAGAATATCAGATGAAAGAGAGGAAGAGGAAAATTCATCATGCAGATTAGGATCCTGGCCATTGCCCCTTTTACATTTGCTTTACACAACCATGTCACCTGCTGAAGAGTCTCTCCCCAAGGTCATCTTCCCATGCCATCAGATCATCCCAGACTATGTTCCTCTGAGAGACGATGGCGAAGTCCTCAAGAAGAGGTCGGGCCTTCTCGGCAGCTGCCCGATTCCTCTGCAATCGCCTCCCGGTGGAGCTGTGCTTGGCTCCCTCCCTCCCCAGTTTTAAGAGGCTGCTGAAAACACATCCTTTCCAAGAGGGAACCTCTGTTGAAGTTATTCACCTCTAGATGCCCTCTCTGTTTTGCGGCACCATTAGGTTTTTAATAGTAGTAATTTTTTGGGTTGGGGCTTGGCTGCTCTATTTTGCCTGTACGTTGTCACTTTATTATTTTATATGTACACTGCCCAGCATAGTGCTGTGCACAAAAGGGGCAATAAATAAATGAATAAATCTCAACTAAAACCAGAAACCTGCTTTGTAACTGCATGTAAAAGCACACCCTACTTTCATTAGTGATCTCCCATCTGACCAAGCTGTCATGCATCTTCTGCAAAACAGCACCACATATCCCTAAATATTAAATGGGATCTCTGTGAAAATAAACTCTAAAGTAGGCTCAAATTCTTTGTGGTTTTATGCTGATCTTGTAAGTTTCTTTGCCTTACTGCAAAGGCATATATGGTCCCTAAGACACACATTTTTGATTACAATTTAATGAGACAGCTTCTGAAACCCAATGTATGTTAGAATGCAATTTTCCCTTAGTTATAACCAACACACTTTAGGCAGGCGACGCAATCTTCTTGGATTGCATATTTGTTCATATAGGGAGGCGTCCTTTGGAAATGCTGTACTTTTTAACTTCCTAACTGCTCTCCAAAGGGGAAAAAATCCTGTCTGCTGGCATCCATCTCATCTGGATATTTATTCTGAGAAACCATCCGATAATCGCTTACGCACAAAAGAAACTAAAAACAAAACCACTGCCAAGGCTACATCCCTCTGTCACAAAGGCAGCTCCATCTAGAGATCAAAACAGCACAGTGAGGTTTGGAATGCCTTAACAGCGGTCTTCTTGTCCTCACAACAAATGAGTTTCCTCCCCCCTCTGTTCTGATTGTACCTCTGTTAACTCCATGAGTTCTGTGTAGCTGGTCATACGATTCGGGGGCAATAAAGTATTCCTAGTTCCGCTGAGTTTCAGCACCAAACATCATTGCTTTTGAATAGTATGTTGCAGATAAACTCCTAATTCTTAACTCCCATGCCCTGGTAACCCCCTAGCCATAAAGCCCAGTTTGGAACTGGCTGTGATTAATCCGTCACGGGGAAAGGGCAGTCTTGCACACCACCGGCGCGACAGAGCTCCCTTTCTGCCAGAACAGCGAGAGTCAGTCTCTAAAATCCTTGCAACAAGAAGGACCATTTTACTCAACAAGGTGCTTCCTGTTGCCCTTCCTCTTTGCTAGCTACTGTTGCTTGTTATGCGTGGATAGGCTGCTGAAAAAAGGTATTGACACCAAAGGCCACAAGGAGGTTCTGTTTGAGAAGAAACAACAATCAGCACGATTCATGTTTGCCTTGCACACGCTACACTGAGACCACCAGAAGCACTCACAGAATGTTTTCATTTTTAAAAGCAAAGAAAAAGTTGTATTAAAAATAACTTCTCAAAGCCAAACAGAAGGACAAGAGGAGCCCAATCTCCCCCATCAAGGAAAAGCAAATAAATGAAATCTTCTGAGAGTTTTGCATCATGTTCTCCTTGGATATTCCAATCGCTACCTTGGAAAGAAAGCTTTACAAGGCCTTGACTCAAAGATTCCTTAAGAGGAGGAATAAACTATCCAGCAGCTAGCCAAGGAAGACAGCATGGCAGCAGGAGGGAGAGCTGCAACTCAAAACCCATTGTGTGGCTTCTCATAAAAAGCACCAAACAAATGTTGAATCCTGAACATCACCTCTGAAACAGCACAATCTCTTGTGTTACATAAATAGCCAAGTATAAATTCTATAGATAAATTTTAATCAAATGGTGGAAGTGGGGCACCAAATACAGTATTACAAATGACATGCTTTGACAATACAGGCATCTGCTTGTTCCAGATGAAAGCAAAACAATCATCATCAGAAAGTAGGACTTGAAAAAGGCTTTCACTCTGACATACATAATGCCAAACTGTACCCTGTAGATCAGTCCATGAGACATCCCAGCATCCCAATGCATTCTAATCATACCTCCATTCCAGTTTGCCTATAAGTGGCTATAAGAAACCCAAACGGCTATGAGAAAGCCAAACCTAGTAGATATTGGAAAAGCTGCTTACCATCTCAAGAATCTCACAGCCAACAGAACTGGCTGCAGAATTTTGAGAGCTGGAGTCCAGAAGAGTAACTTTTTCAAGCACTGATTCTTTGTCTGTGTTGGGCTTGTGTACCTATGAATGTATTCTAGAATTACAAGAACCCAGCAGTTCTGTAGATAAGGAAGGACACGCTCACAGAGACAGCAGTGGGAACTCAGGAATTGTAGCAGCACATAAATGTAAAACACACACACACACACACACACACACACAGAGAGAAAAGCCAGTATGCACTTCCAAGCAAGCAGAGAAGACAGCAGGCTAGTGCTGCAATATCCAAACTAGGAAGCCAATGTTCAGCGTTCAAACTGATCTCACAACCTGGCTTTTATTCAGTGACATTTCCACTGGTCTTGAGGCACAGAATGTCTCCAACTGGATACAAGGCCAGATTGCAGGCCTAATACTTTAGACAATAAGTACTTTTCTCCTTCTGCTTTAATTACCAGATAATAACCTGTTACAAGACAAAGTCATAATAAAGCCCAGAGCATTGGCCTTACAACTGGATGGCCATTCATTCTGGTCCAACTTTGCTCAAGCTCTATACCTGCATGGAATATAAGGAGCTTGGCAGAGTCTGTGATCTGGAATGAGTCAGTGTTTCCAGGCTATCTCACCAATACCGGCTAGGACTTTTCCCCACAACTATCACTCATGACCAGCAACAGCAACAACACTTTGATCTCAGCTCCCTCTCTTGGTGCAGCCACGGTCTGCACTCACCAGTCACTTGGATGGTGAAAGTCATGGTATCATTATCAGTGTTGCAGCTGTATTTCCCAGAATGCTCTGAGTCAATGGCAGAAATGACCAGGTATCACCAGCCCTGGCCCCTCCTCCAAGGCTGTTGTTAGCCTCTAGTAGTGTGACATAGTCCTTAACTCAGCAGAGAGGCATATTCCCATGAGAAACCACAAAAGGTCACTGTCACTGCCTTCCCCCATGGAGACCTTCTGGACAGGAGGAGTCCTGTAGGGTTGCACAATCTTCACAGGGAGCTCTAGAAGGAGAGGGCAGGCAGCCCAAGTTTGAAGCAACCACAGGCGAGGCTTGTGCTGATGGGCCAACCCCCCTCCCCCCATCTTTCACTGGACAGCTTGTGGAAGGAGCTCTGGGCTCAGGGAACAGGAAAGTCTTCTGAGAGAAACGGATTCCATCTCCTCTCTCGCTTAGTGGCAGTAAATTCCCTTCCCTAACATCTAAACCCCAAGCTAGCATTTACGTGAGAATGTGTCTCGCTTTAGCAACTAGTCACAGGTGCCTTTTTCATTCCTTCTGTGATCTCTCTCTCCCTCCCACCCAAAAAAATGGCATTCAGACAATCTTCTCCATGCTTCTTGTAGCTTCATTGGAGTAGAAAGGCAGTTTGGCACTTCAAGCACACACTCTGTTCCTTTTCTCTCATAGAAGGAAAAGCTGCTCAGAGGTGAGGGAAGAGTTTTAGCCGAGAAAATTATGTTGAGGAAGGTGGGGGTGTAAGAGAGAAAACACTGGGAACAACTTGATGTAACCAACAGTCTGTGTAATTGGGCTTAATTTTTCTCAATCTTGATAGCTATCCAACTGCCCTCTCTAATACTTAAAGTTGTTTTAAAGAGACACTGGAATCCAAAGCAACATTAATGTGTCTCTCCATAGTTTTGTGTCCATGTTTAACATCTTTCCTTCTTCATTAAAACATTTAGAAACAATATTAGAAACAATGTAGCAGCATCAAACAGTTTATGCCCAAACATTTCTCATTAAGTTATGTTTTGTTATCCCTTCACATAGGAAGAGCCCTGCTGGATCAGGCCAAGGGCCCATCTAGTCCAGCCCCACCAGATGCCTCAGGGAGCACATGAGACAACTAGATAGCTGTCTCCTGATACCCCTCCCCTGCATCTGGCATTCGGAGGTACCTTCCTTTTAAGCCTGGAGATTATAAATCCCCATCATGGCTTGTAACCTGTGATAGATTTTTCCTCCAGAAACCTGTCAAATCCCCTTTTAAAGGCATCTAGGCCAGATGCCATCATCAATGCATCCTGTGGCAAGCAGTTCCACAAACAACATGCTGGGTAAAGAAATTTTTTCTTTTTCCTGTTCTCACTCTCCCAGCACTCAATTGGAGTGGGTGTCCCCTGGTTCTGGTATTGCGTGAAAGGGAAAAGAGCTTCCCTCTATCCACTTTATCCATCCCCTGCATAATTTTATATGTCTCAAACATGTCTCCCCTTAGGCACCTTTTCTTTAGACTAAAGAGCCCCAAATGCTGTAGCTTTTCCTCATAAGGGAGGTGCCCCAGCCCAGTCATCATTTGAGTTGTTCTCTTCAGCACCTTTTCTAGTTCCACAATGTCTTTTTTGACGTGCGGTGACCAGAACTGTACACAATACTCAAGGTGCAGCCTTACCAGTGTTTTGAGCAATGGCATTATAAGGTTGGCTATTTTATTTTCAATCCCCTTTTTAATGATACCTAGCACAGAATTGGGACGTGGTGGTGCTGCGGGTTAAACCGCAGAAGCCTCTGTGCTGTAAGATCTGTAGATCTTCAGCTGTAAGATCGAATCCACGTGACGGAGTGAGTGCCCATCGCTTGTCCCAGCTCCCGCCAACCTAGCGGTTCAAAAGCATGCAAATGCAAGTAGATAAATAGGGACCACCTCGGTGGGAAGGTAACAGCATTC